TCGAACTCAAGTTGCCAGGTTTGTATTGCGCAGTGCACAAACAACTTTTGTCGCAACTTCTCACACGTAACCACAGAGACAAAGATGCCTCATGCAGCCTACAAAATTAAGTAACTGCGGATAACACTGCAAGCTTGGCACGGGTACAGGAATGACGTCCATGCAATGCACATGCACACAAGAATACTGTATGCCATGAAAACATCAGTAACTGCGTACAAAAAGTGGAGTGAAAATTATTATTTCAACCGTTTTTTTTTCTCCTCCCGCCAAATGCAGCATTAACGAGTAATTGGCGCAATCCTCTGAGCCACGCGTTTCCACGAGACTCGTGTCCTAACATCACCAAGCCAAGTGCGCGTACTCGGTCAAACAGCAGGACACGGGGCCGTATAGAAATCTTTCCGTCGCGGGGCTTGCAAATGAAACATGTAAATAAAGGACCCTACGCGAATACTTCCAGTGGGACACAGCCATTGCATGCAATGAACGTGTGGCTGTGACCACATTCCAAACCCTCCCCTGCCGCCGCCTCCCCACCTCTAAAAGAATGTCAGGGTCAGATGCTTTCGCCCGCTTGTCCTTGGGATGCAACTGCAAGATTTCGGGGATGCGTGCGATTTACGTCTGCGCGACTCTAGCCTCTCAAATTCCCAACGCAGTCCTATATCACGGGAGCAGGACAACACCACGAGTCGTTCTTTCTGAAAGTGGACAGCTAAATAGGGCTCTGGTTGAGTTCGGGGGTACAGAACCCACCCTGGTGCCTTGAGGTTGAAGGTTTAAGCTCTCAGAGAGGCCAGTGGCCCTCACAACCAGGGCAGCAGGGCAGTGGAGCCCTGGGTAAATAATCTGTTGATGGCGAAAGCCGGATGAGAGCCTAAAGTAGGCCAATGTCGTAATAGGTTTTTACCCTTTTATCTGGTACAAAAACTGACACCTTCTTGGTTCGTTCGGTAAAGTCACGTAGAATGGAAATAATAAAGTAATAAAAATAAAAATAATAAAATAATTATTTTGTTATTTCCATTCTACGTGACTTTACCGAAAGAACCAAGAAGATGAATCCCTGCAGTCACGAAAGCTTTAAATCGAAAAACTGACACCTTTATACAAAGGATCATGTTTGCAATAGCCACAACACAAGCAGTCAAAATGCAAACAAAAAGAAACAACTCTGATAATGATATGCACTGTCCTTGAAGTTGATTGGTCCACACCCAAGACAGCTTTTCTTAGAGCCTAGTTCTCCATTGGTGTTGGACCAGATGACGCCAGAAACACTGGGAAATGAGTGGCTACTGAACAGGTTGTCCAGCCACCAATCACCTCACCAAGCGTTGTTCCACGATACATCAATTAACTTAAGTGGCAGATAATATATTTTAATAATAAGGATCCTTTCTTGAATTGAATTACCACTTAATAATTCGATCGCATGCCCTTTGAGGCTTTGATTGGTAGACACGCTGTGGTGGCATATGAGATGGAGAAGGTTAAATACTTTAATGCCCGTGTCGTTATTGTTAATGACGCAAGCAGCAATTGCCATGATGAACAGCCAGGCCTATTCCGATGTTTCTTGTGGGAATTATTTGACACTTTGAATGTGTTCACATAAAAAAACATTCCATTGGTCTTTGTGCTTTGCGACTGCACTGATTACACTTAACGAATTACTCTATAATGCATGTGCACATATGCAGCGATGTTGTGTCAAGGATTGTTTGAAACCATATTCAACAATCTCTTGCTTCGTCCTCAAGTTAAGCTCATTATGAAGCCTCTTAAGTTTTTCACGATATTCTCATTTTGGAGAGAGTTATAATTGAGGGCACCGAGGGTTAATGCAAAGCCGGCAAGTTTACAATGCACTTTTAACGATTGCATTCTCCCAACTATTTAAATACCCTTTGTATATGTATTTCTTTTCAAATGTCGCACAAGCAACACTTGTTAGATGATCAAACAAGAATTGTGCAAAATGTGCTCTATTTATCGGGTTGGTTTCATTGCAGGAGAAAAAAAAAACCGCTGAGTCCAAATCTGCTCATTAATCCACACACAAGTGCTGTCATAAAGCCCAGGCACAAACGCGCTAATGAGGCCCTGTATCAAATTAACTCTTTTACAGCACGACATCCCTGCAGATTTACTACAACCGAGAGCGCAGATTAATGCGGCAACTAAATTTAACGGCAAACGCATAATTCAGATTTCTCCTTTGTTCCAAAAACGTACAGGTTAAAGTCGCAGCCCTGCAGCTGCATTGCTCATGACACCGCTGGCAAAAGCACCTCTCGGCGGTAGTTTGGCCTACGCTTCAACGCTGGCCAGATATCTTGGGGGAAAAAAAAGTCGGGTTATACCCACACTTTACCCCTCCACACGCAACCTGCCCATCGACTTAAGTATGGTGAACCCATTTCTACTGCTGGATGGACAAGAGGTCCAGGGGGCATTTAAGAAACTTGAAAAATATTTTTAACTGTCGTGGCGAGCGAATTAATCGATTCGGCCACCTCTGGATTGCAAGTCCAGTGCGCTGAAGCATTATGGAACAGCAGCATCCTCGTAAACGTGAGCGAACAACCCCCAAGTAAAATAAATTAACGGTTTGAACGTTTGTACAATCGCTTTCGCATCATCACTCTCCATGAAGGGAAAGTGCCCGAATTGAGAGATCATTTGTTATTTTGTCAAGAGGCATTAATATATTATATTGTTACAGCAGAATACCTTATACTATTACTTATACATTGGTGTGTGCGAATGATGACGGAAGGTAATTTTACTCCAGAGAAGACAGCATGCTAAATTCCACTCTCGCCCACCCCTCGCCCCGAAACCCCCACTGCCCCTCCTCCCTTCCTCACCCTTGCTCCTGACACTTCCCCAGCACGCAGTGGTCAGCCACTTGAGCTGGTAAACTGAAACAAAACTTTTAAAATGTTATTTTACCAGGTAAGGCCCGCCTGAGCTATGAATCGCTCTTTTTCAGAAGCGACCTGGCCACAAATGACAGCTCAACGAAGTAGCTGATCACAATGTGGACATGTATAGCAGCCAAACACTCTAACCGCTTGTTGATTCTAAAACGTGGAGGGAAAAACCGGCAAAACCGGAGGAGCCGAAGAAAAATCCACGTGACCACGTTAAGGCACGCAAACTCCAAATATCCAGGCGTCAGGGTCGGGATCAAACCCACGACCCCCCCTGTGTACCAGGCCAAGTAGTTGACATCCTCACCATCACGCAAGTGCACAGGGTGCACTCTGTGTAGCTCTTGGACGTGCTGTTTGGGCACGATGTCCGACGTTTCACTTCGTGTGGTATCTCCACTGCCCCCCTCCCGCATCGTGCGTACGCGACGATAGAGGGGGACCGCTCTGTGCTCAACCCTTGTTATTGACAGGCGATGCGCTCAGGTGCCAGGATGCTCAAACGACCACGGCCGGATTGGCTGCGCCCGTCCGACGGGGTCGTGGAAATTTCCCAGCATTTCGCATTCACTGCCTGGCAATCGTCGAAACCAGGGGGGCAATTCCCCACCCGAAGGATGGATTTTTTTACTTATGTGAAATTCATCCCACGCTCCAAGCCTGGTGGTGTTTCATTCAGACGCTGTCTTTCCGACAGACCTGTTCTTCACCTGAGGACGGCTGCTTGTGTTGTGGCCGAAACGTCGTGAGAATTATTTTATTAGGTTTTAATTTTATTATTTTATTATTTCCCTTCTACGTGACTTTACCGAAAGAACCAAGAAGATGAATCCCTGCAGTCACGAAAGCTATAAATCGAAATTCATCCCACCTGCCAGCGCCACGGTCGCTCTTTAAAACAAATCAAATATTATTACTGCCATCAGTTGTCACCGTGATCTTACCTCCGAGGGATTAGTGACAGCCGAACCATTAGAAACTAAAAACACACCCTTGAAGAATATATAAATCATGCACAGGTCACACGTCATTAACACTGCTCTATGAGAGACAGTTTGGTTTTAGGCAATGCCCCTTTTGAGGCAACGACACCGTCAGAGTGGGTTTATAACGAGAATTCAATCTCTGCCCGCTCTCTGTTTTTGAATAAGGACCATTGCCCAAAAACGTTAGTATCCCAGTATATGTTTTTGCAAAGTGTTGAGATGGTGGAAGTAATGATACTCGCGCTCCAAAACCACAGCATTTTCGTGATTCATTATCACAGTTTGATTAAACAATGACTAGCTCCGTCAAATGTTTACCATCCTGCTTTTATTGAGTCCCAGTAGTTTGTTCCCTTTGCAGTTTTGTTCACAGTGTGTTTGAAACATTAACATAGCTTTTGTATTATTTGGAAATATTAGGTTCTCTCACACGTATAATTCAGTGCATATAAAATGCGAGCGTAAGAATCCACACGTATTAACACCTCCACCGTCGCATGCCTTAGTGTTAATGACGTGTGCATGTACACACCTGCCAATTGAGCTCCTTATTCGTTAGAAATTAGACATTAGTATTCGCGCTTTTATAGTGCAAGGTGATCAAAAATATGTCGTGTTTCATTAGTGCCGACTTTACCCAAATGATTTTTTTCGATATTTGTGTTTGTGCAGCAATAACCACAATGCAGCAGCAGCAGCATCAACAGTTAGTTTACCCCAAAGAAGAGATTTGAGTGTATTTCACGGTCAAGTTATCTACATCTGTTCACGGGTCACGTGCTATACATTTCATGCTCATTAATTGGCTGTAAACGTCTTAATATATTGGGGATCACAAAGCTTGGGCAAGTGTTGGCACCGGCTTGCCACCTGGCTGCCTTTTCCGCTTGTTTGTAGTTGCTTGCACCTCTCAGAAGTTCTCGCTCTCTCTCCCCAAAGAGTTGAACGAATACCCTGCGGCTCGTTTCAATTTCAAGTTATTGTTTACAACAATGATAATAATTCTTATTTATTTACAAACAACAGCAGCTAGAGGCCACAGCCAACAAAACAGCACCGGAAGCACACTGACCGTGCCAGCAGGCCCCGATGGCGAGCTGCGATTGGCTCTTTCCCGGCCGGATTGGCCAATCGTCGGTGACGAGGTAGGGCTGGTAGGAAACCCCGTCGACGTACAGCGTGACGGTAGGCGTGTCCACCGTGATGACGTAGTGATGCCACTCCTTGTCGCACACCTGTTTGGGACGTCACATGGGCATAAGACAAAGATCATCCGCGTGTAGCCTTAACAGACCTTTTGGGGGAAAGTGGTGTTAAGCGAGTAGCACCCTATGAAGGCCCCTGACAGTAACACCAGGGAGTGGGGGTGACCAAAACCACGACTTTTGTCTTCCTAGTGGTGATGTCCCCACACCGCACACCTGTTGGGACGTCACACGGGCACAAGACGAAGATCGTGTCGCCTTCTTTGTTCATGTTTTTGTTTGTTGCGGTTGCACCCGAGTTAAGAGCCGCACGGCTCACAGAGCTACACCTAATAAATGAAACTGAAAAAAAACCCAGACAGATTCTTGGGAGCGAGTGCTGTAATCGAGTAGCACCTATGCAGGCCGGCACGGCATACCAGGGGGATGACTGGCCTTTTGTCTCCCTAGTGGCGCTGTTCGCACACCGCACCAAGTGCTAATTTCAGGTTGAGTCGACCTAGGGGAGGCCCAGGGACCAGTTCAGTTAATCATCACCGGTGTTGGTGGCCGTGAGATGGAATTGAACTCTGGTCGCCGGGTTCATAGCACAGGCTGCGAACCGCGAGACTGTATAAGCCAGAGGTGGGACAAAGTCATTGTTATGCAAGTCCAAGTCGAGTCTGAAGTCATCAAATTCATGACTCGAGTCTGACTCGAGTCCAAGTCACATGACTCGAGTCCACACCTCAGAGGTGGGACAAAGTCATTGTTATGCAAGTCCAAGTCGAGTCTGAAGTCATCAAATTCATGACTCGAGTCTGACTCGAGTCCAAGTCACATGACTCGAGTCCACACCTCTGGTATAAGCTACCTGCACAGGCACTGGCCTATTGAAACCGGGGCATTGAAACCATCGATCCGACGACCTCTGAATTGCAAGTTCGGTGTGCAAGACTCATTAGGCCACGGTCATATCCCAAAATAAATGTGAACAATAACGCGCATAGCCTGCAGGGGGCAGTCAAGGTAAGCAGGCTCTTGAGCAATGTGGACTGATACTTCTTCCGAACGTGTGTGATTTTCTCCAGGCTTTCATAACCGAGTATCCTGACAAATGCACTAACCCACAGAGAGCTCACCGTCCAGAAAGAACGCTTGCACTTGACAGTCGGTGGATTAAGTGGACCAAGGAAGTGAATTGTTACAATTGTGATTTTATTTACGGGAAACTGATACAATGAAAGCTATTAAAAGTCAATTATCAATTGATCTAAATGAGACCACAATGGGTTATATATAACCGTCAATTACTCGCTAATGCAAAACGAACTGGCTAAATGACAAGAGGCATAACCTTCCTGAAAGAAATATATTTAAATCATTTGAGTCTTTTGGGATAAAGAATATTTGAATCTATAGACCGATTTACTGTGCTATGTATACACTGCCTGCCCTTGAAACCGTGTTTGCAGCAGTTGTTACAAAGCCATAAATGAGCATTCAGAACACACTTTCAGTGCCAATTTAAACATATAACCCACTGCTTTTTATGTCGTAACCCATCGTGTGAATGGATTTTCTCCAGGATCCCTAGCAGTTTTCTCCCACACGTACAAAAAATATAAACGTCAAAAGACACTTGCACAGATATCTAAAATCACGACGTGAATGAAACAAGTCGTTTTGAGGACCTTGGCAAGTCATTTCCGACACGCGATTTCCAATCGTTGCGATTAAACCGCTCATATTGGCCCGTCACTTGGCGGTGGCGGCTGGATGACACTCCGATTTACGATGGGGAGCTCCGTACAGACACGACCCATGGGGAACGCGATGGTCTGCCCCCGTTGCAAATCTGGGAGCAAGCTGGGGTCCCACTCCTCTCCGCCCCCCCGCCCCACGCTGCCACCCGGTAAGGCCGAGGGGTGGTTCTGGGGTAGGGCTGAACGATTAATCGATTTCAAATGGAAATTTGAAACAATGCGATGAGCAAATCGCAAAGGCTGCGATTTTTTGTGACTTCAAAAGTCCTATTATTTTATTGGAATTGTTTTTATTTTTTATTATAACTTTTAACTTACAATTGTTCTATGTTTTGTTGTTCTATTTTATTTTATTTTTAAAATAAATACATGTTGGAAGCAATTCATATTTTGTAAGTTCTCATCCTTGCATTAGAATATATAGAGCAGTTCATATTTTGATGGTATCATGTGGTAATAATGCTCCATCGCATGTTTTAAATCTATTACACAGTGAATATTGAATTGAAGCTTGACTTAATTTTGTTTTATCACAAATCAAATCACAATGTCAGAAAAATCGCAATTAGATATAATCTCTCATTGACACTGCTATTGTGCGCATATGCGGGGACGATACTCTTATGCAGCGACGGAAGCTCATTTTTTCATGCTAATCTTTCTCCCTAATCTCTCTCTCCCTAATCTCCCCCATTAACACAACTGACGTGCTTGCGTCCGGCGATGGAATTCCTTTCCAGCTCAGACCCCGCTTGCTTGCCCATCGCCACATATACAACCTCTTGTTGTAACCGCTCTCTCGCTGGTTCAGCAGTTCCACTGCTGGACAATTATTTCCGCCTGAAGACGACCGCTTGTGTTGCGATCGAAACGTCGTTATTTTTTTCCTACCTACGTGACTTTACCGAAAGAACCAAAGCGAGTATGGCTATTTTCCCCAAATCGTTGAGCCCTGGTGCGGAGTTGGGAGCGGTAACCGCCGTCCGTCGATCAGTCGGACGCGCTTGCAACGATGACTCAGAGACCACGCGCCGCTCGGCAAAAAAATAAATGTAAAAAAAAAACACTCCCCGTGTGCCTCGGAGTCCATTGTGTTGCATCGGAGGTCACCGTGTGCCAAGTCGGTCGGGACAACATTTCCACCCCCCCCTCCTCCCCCCGTCTGAATTCCGCTCGCTTGCCCGTCACACTCCCAATTAGTGGCCACACCGCCCCCGCCTCACCACCCCTCTCCCCCCACTGACGCCGCGATGCCACCTTTAATAAACATCGATTGGAGAAAATCTACACAAACCAGGGTGAGCCTCCTAATGAGCCGGAGCATCCATATTTTGTTGTTGTTGTTGTTACGAGCCCGCAACGTAGCGAAACCAGAACAAAACATTTCTAGCCGCTGAATTGCGCGCGTTCATTTCACAGCGGCGGCTTGCGTCGGGTGAATCCGGTCACCGTCGTAGATTCACCGATTAACATCGATTCTTGAGCCCAACGAATCGCGTGTCACACCGAGTAACAGTGGGGGGACTCGCTGACTCGTCGATTAACATCGAGATTCTTGAGCCTCGTAAATCATGCGTTACACATCTTCCCACAAATTGACTGCGAGCATCGCAATCAGCCCCGTGTGCCGGCGTTACAATTTATCGTTGCATCGCAGGACTGTGGGAAATGACACCTTGGAGTGACCTTCATCCAGCAGCAGACTGACCACGGCTGGTGAGAATGATGACGATGCTGACAATGATGCCAATGTGATGCCGGTGATGACAATATGTTGTCCGTGCGGGGCTATGCTGCTCTTTGCAGCGACAAGAGACGCTACGATTCACCACTGCGCTGAAAATACAAAAGGAACAGATAACTTCAATCCGTGATCTCGAATCGTAACACTCCATTCAATTTGCAACGCTACGTGGTGAATCATTGGTCCTCATTAAAGTTACGCCCCCAGTAGTGTGAGACAGTAATTAAAGATCCGTAAATAAAATGCATGCACCGTCTGTATTCCCTACGTTTCGCATTAAGATAAAATATAAGACAGCTGTGTAATAGGAGGGAAACAAAATCACTACGATTACTATACCACAGTGGTCGCAGGAGTAAACAAAGCTGCAGTCTTCATTAAGCCATAAATATGAACATAATTCTTCTTCTGGAGGGGTGATTACGCGCTGAGGCCACTATCAATCTCTGCCAGCAATGATCAGCGGATTCAACATGAAGACGTTAATTGATGAAGGGATTTGCTAACGGGGGGAGACCGGGCCAGTCATAAAGCGCGCTTGGAACAGAGAGGACCGTCGGGAGTGACTTACTCGCAAATCAAAAAGAAGTCGGGAGCAGCGGTGGCTTGTGGGTAAATATATTGCAGAGACACGGAGAGATAGGGTAGTGGCGTATGCTGCTAATTATCTTTATAATGAGCACACATAAAAATATTAAATCATAACTGTTTTGTCCCTACGCAAAAAAAACATTTAATACTCTATCTGCCTGTTGGCTTTTTAGAGTGAAAATTCCAAGCGGGATTTGTAGAAACAAGCAAGGAATCTCCGGATTGGTTTCTACCTTCTTGGGTCTCATCAGCAGTGTCAGGCTTGCCAAAAACATGCTTCTGGATTCCAACCCTTAATGTGTGTAGTGACATAAGAGGGGAAGGGCTGCAACCTAGACGCTTAAGCCCCTTGGCGCCACGCGCTGGGATCCCAGGCACCCCAGCCAGTTAAGCCCCTTGGCGCCACCAACGGGGGGGGGGGGGGGGGCTGTGTGTGCTCTGTGGGATATCTGGGGTTGCACACAACCCCACCCCTCGTTGGGGACGAGGCATAAAAGGGCGGCTCCCTGGCCGATCAGGGCCAGTTGTAGCTCAAGACCCAAGACCCAAGACCAGCCATCTCAGGACCCTGGGACGCTGTGAGAGCCAGTGGTGGGACTCTGGAACACCCGACTCTACGACCTTGTGAGGGCGAGTTCCAGAGCGTAGCCAGAGTAGTGTATCTAGGCTGTGTACCTAGGCTGTGTACCTAGGCTGTAACAGTATCAGGACTGTTGGAGTGTTGGATTGTAATAAAGAAGTTACCTCTACAAGTGTCTCCGGAACCCATTACATATGCACCAAGGAAATACCTTACTTGTTGGGGTTGAAAGGGGCCCCTTAATTTCAATGGAGTGCTCTTACCAATAAGAAATGGTAATCCATCAGCATTAGCTTATTAAGCCTGGCCTGCTGATGAGATCCAGAATGTCAAAACCCAGTCCCCAGAGTTGGCTTGCTTGTACAAATGCTGCTTGATAATATTGGCCTGAAAAGCTGATAGGACGGGGACATTTTTTTAAATATTTGTTTTAATCTCTGTGTCGAGTTATAATTATTTATGCCCCCCACGGCAAATGCCCAATACAATGCGCAGGTGAGCAGAGGGTGAGTAATGCAGGTGAGTAGAGGGTGAGTAATGCAGGTGAGTGGAGGCGAGAAATTTTAAGAGTTTGCTATGCTTGTTCTATATTCCTAACGATGGGTCTGGCCACTCAAGTACTCAAGTATAAATTTTTAAATATATTTTTTTACCAGGTAAGGCCCACTCAGCTCTATGGCTCTTTGTCAGAAGCGACCTGACTATCACAAATTATAGCTCGACTAAGTGGCTAATCATCACGTGGAAATGTGTAGCAGCCAAATAACTCTAAACACACATCGATTCTAAATGTGGACGGGAAAAACCGGAGGACCCGGAGAAAATCCACACGACCACTGGGAGATCGACACTCAAACTCGACATATGAATCTCATGGCGGTACCCTAATGTCCGTGATGCAGTCATTTTTAGTCTGTTGATGGCCGGCAATGCGGCGATCGACTCATCTCGACGAGCTGTACACGATGCACCACCACGGTGCGTACGAGCGTTCGGGGTTTCAGCGCAATCGACATCGCTGCGTTTCAACATCGTGGAGTAGCACCGATTCCGGATTTATTGGTACCCCAGTCACGGAGTTAAGTACTCCCCTGGAGAAAAATAGTGTCCCAGAAATAAAATATTTAATTGCGTCGGTCATTTTGTATTATTTGGTACCCCGGGGTACCGCCATAAGGATCATATGCAGGGCGTCAGGGTTGGGATCGAACCCACGACCTCCCGTACACCAGGCGAGGTAGCTAACATCTTGCCACTCCGGCGAGCCATCGCTGGGGCGCAAGGAATCCCTCCGCCCCCCCCCCCCATACCTGGTCCAGCTTCCAGTGGAACTCGGCGGGGCGGAACGTGTCTGTCTGGGAAAACTCCGACCGGAGGAGAAAGACGAGGCGGCAGTTGTGTATGTAGAGCGAGTAGTGGTGGCGGTTCATGCCTGGGGAGCACAAAGACAAACATCACACCGCCGTTATAGCCTTGTAGACTGTCAAAGGGTGGCAAGTGCTGTTAGCAAGCATCTAAAATAAAAAGATCCCCCCATATAACAGACTGTTGGGGCAAATGCTGTTAAGCGAGCACCTATGAAGGCCGGCACGGCACACTAGTGTGATGTTTAGAAATCACGGCAGGTATTCATTTCAGGCCGAGTCAACCTAGGAGAGGCCCAAGACCGGTTCCAATAATCGTCACTGTTATTGGTCGCGAGCGTGAAATGAACTCGGGTTGCAGGGTCCGTAGCGCAGTGCGCTAACCACTGCGCCACCGCTCATATGCATACAGACCTCTTGGGGCAAGTGCTGTTAGTGAACACCTATTAAGGCCGGAATGGCAATTGGGGTTTACAGGGTATGTGGCCAACCCCTTTAGCAGTGCCCACTTTATTACAGACCAATTCAGACCATATTGGTCACCCCGTGCCCTCGTAAATCTCAACGTTCATCCTACAAAGTGCCATCGCAAGGGAGAAACAGACAAATAGATTTTTGTTGTTGCCCGTATTTAAACGGCTGTACGCCGCATGGACCTGAAAACTCAATATCCCTGCACAAGGAGACGGCGTATCTTTTAAACCCCACACGGTTTACCCAACACCTACGTCCATTCGAATTCGACTCCGCAGTGCTTATATTTCACACACCGCTCCAGGCACTCATTTAAGACTGAGTCGCAACCTAGGGAGGAGAGGCCAAGGACTGATTCAGGATATCGCCCGTCACTCCATGAGGTGAGCTGTGGCCTGGAATGAAACCTTTAAACATGTTATTTTACCAGGTAAGGCCCACTGAGCTATATAGCTCTTTTTCAGAGGGGACCAGCCCATTTACAGCAGCCAAATACTATAAACGCACGTCGATTTTTAAATGTGGGAGGGAAAAACCGGAGGACCCGGATAAAAAAATCCACGCAACCACGAAGAACATGCAAACTCCAAATATACAGCAGGCGTCAGGGGTCGGGATCGAACCAACGTCCTCCTGTATACCAGGCGAGGGAGTTAACATCTCGCCAACCGTGGCACTCTGGAGCTGCCAGGTCCACAGTGCGGCTCGCAATCCACAGATGTGACCATGAATCCGATGCTCTGCTGGTGACCAATGGGAGACGAGAGAGAGAATGAGTCCCAGCCGCTTGTCGTAGTTATGACAGCACTATTCAGCTATGACCGGTGAAGGTTACTCGTGAAGAATATCAATATACCTACGGTGAAGAGACAACTAATTTCAAGCAAATTTGCTTCGGGGCTATAAACATGATTACGCTTGGATTTAATGCTCGTATATTTTTGTATCGCTCTCTCTCAGCATTGTCATAACGTCTCTGTTTATTTTTGTTTTAACTGCCATAATGCAAGGGGTGCGAGGGGAAGAGGAGGGAATCATCGTTAACGGCATGCCGGCTGCTTGAAACTACCGAGCTAATTTGCAGTGAGCCCAATTTGAGTTTTCAGAATGTTTAACTGCAAGGCAGTGATTTCATTGAGAAAGGAAAATGCAGTTTTCGAAAGATCATTGAAACTAGGCAGATGGTTCATCTCTCTCCCAGAGGCTTTAATGTCCTCGCATAATAACCGGACTGAGAGGTGACAGATGTATACTGTTTTTTGCAAATGGTTAATCCGGCGCTGATATCAGAACTAAAAGTAGCGGCAAGCAGCTGCTGTTAATGTGTGTGAAAAAAAAAAGAGATTTTAAATTTAAATGTCATTTTACAAGGCCTCTCGCTTCATGCATGTGATCAAAATTTAATTAATATCTTGCAAGTACTGTATTTATATATTCAAGTAGGTCACAGTGTTAATCCACAACTTTGTAACTTGCGGTGGTGAAGCGAGAGATACATCGGAGAGAGTAGAGAAATGTTTAACAGGCCAGTTTGACGAGAAAAATAATTGAAACTTAAAAAAAATACTTTGGAATAACACAATTTGCTAAATTTATTGCGAGATTTAATTTATTAGGACGTGGCAAGAAAAAAAAACCCCTTCAGTCTCAGAAAATCCCCGGATAAAAAATGCTACACTGTATTCCAGTTATTAGCGATGGGGATTAGTAGTATTTGTGTGTGGGTCAGCGGTCACACAAAGCGTGCGCATTCATGGCCGAGCATCCGCCACCGATCGTGGCTCCCAACAATCAACAAGACACTCGCACGCCCCATGCTCCTCCCTGAGGGCGCCGCGGTGGCGAGATGTTAACTCTCTCGCCTGGTATACAGGAGGTCGTGGATTTGATCTGGACCCTGACGCCTCTGCATTTGGAGTTTGTGCGTTTTCATCGTGGTCGCGTGGATATTTTTTAACCGGATTCTCTGTTTTTTTGCCTCCAAAATTCAGAAATGCGCGTTTACAGTACTTGGCCGCTATAAATGTCCACACTTCGTTGAGCTATAATTTGTGGCCAGGTCTGTTTCTGAAAAAGAGTCAAGGGATCAGTGGGCCTTACCTGGTAAAATGAAAAATAGTTAATGAAATGGTAAAAATAAAAAAAAAGTTTAATTTCTTGACTTAAACCAAACGGAGGCGGATTAAGTTGGACTCATGAGCTTTGTCATTGCAAGAGAGTGGAATTATGACGCCGATGTGTCTGGGAGCCTCCCTGTGACATTATGTCTGAGCTGACACATCGTGGCTCGTAGTGGAACATTCACGTACAACCGCACCGCCATCGTGCTCGTCACTGCCTCTGAATGTAGATTTTTTTCAACACCACTTCAGAGAGACACAAAGCAAGAGGGTACACGTTTTTTTTCCCCCCAAGTGACCAGCGCATCAGAGAGAGTAATCCGAGCGGTTGTGATCTTGGGGGATCGGAGAGAGAAACGGGAGAGAGGAAGAGAAAGACGGATGGGAATTGATAGAAACAGAATGAGGAAAGTAGAAATAGGAATTGAGTAACGGGCAGAAGAAACCGTGACGGGAGAGGGGAAGTCAGATCGGAAGAGACTCACCTATTACCACAAACGCAACTTGGCATATATTTTGCCAAAGTTAGAAGACTGTTGCGCTATCTAGATTGGAGCACTCAGTTCCTACCTCACTGCACGTGAGAGCTTTCAGAGTGAAGCAGTCAGGTTGATTGATGACCCAGCGTGCAACCGATTCACCCAAGTCGTTTGCTCACGTGGGTAAAAAAAAGAATAAGAAAATTGCAGTGGTATGTCTGGCCAATATTACGGGAGGGCACCTGAAGAACCGGTCGTAAATCCGTGCAGAACTCTAGACCATCTTCTTGGTTCTTTCGGTAAAGTCACGTAGAATGGAAATAATAGAATAATAAAAATAAAACATAATAAAATTATTCTCACGACGTTTCGGCCACAACGCAAAAGACAGCGTCTAACAGACCTGTTCTTCACCTGAGGACGGCTGCTTGCGTTGTGGCCGAAACGTCGTGAGAATTATTTTATTATGTTTTATTTTTATTATTTTTTTATTTCCATTCTACTTGACTTTACCGAAAGAACCAAGAAGATGAATCCCTGCAGTCACGAAAGCTTTAAATCGAAACTCTAGACCAGTGGGGGTTTACCAACCTTTGGAGTGTACGGATCCCACTTTTTAAACCTACAAACATTTCGCCGGACGACCACGCGCCACGGGATATTTGAAATTGGTGAGGATATTAGAATTTTTCTTTTCCATGGGAACCGCCCATTGTTAGTGCTCCCCTTGTGACATGCGCCTCCCCCCCCCCCACCACCCAGACGTTCAAGGGTAAAGACATCGTGTTTGTCTGGAACGTAGGCGGCGGCGCGATTCCTTTAACTGACAAACCGTCCCAAAAAATTATTGCCCGAATTGTTTTGTCAGGACTCTCATTTTCACCGATACGTGAAAAGGGGTTTGTGCTTACATTTCCCTGCCAGGTGATTTAGAACTGGGGCACGCACTTGTTTATATTAAACGAGTCATAATTCAAACGGACTTAATAGGTTGCGGTTATGCTTCTGTGCTCCTGGCATCCGCAATGAATTTCTCCGGCGCGCGCGGGCACACATATACCATTTTTATAATAGTCTTGCGGCGAACACGGCTGTGCAGAGACCGTGGAGATGCTGTTATTCTTGCAAGACCAAACTTAAAGTATTACCCCCCCCCAACTCTTTAAACAAAACATTGTTATTACCTTATCAGGGCATGTTTGCGTACAACATTCAGAAAAGTTAGCGTGCCATTGTAGAGCCGACCATGACCATGAAAAGCAACTCATGCCACTTGAGCGTCCTGCTATGACGTACGGTTGTTCCGAGATGCCGACATTAAGAACAATGGGAAACAATAACTGAGCAGTGCACAGAGAAGCATGCGGAGGTGGTGAATGTGCTTGGAATCACACCGATAGACTGGGAGCTACGGAGTTTTAAATCCAAATAGATTTTTTTTTCGAGAACTGCATTTTGTTTTTAGTTTGTTGTGCTTCCCTGGCACCTCCAATGAGCACGGTTGGTTACGTATGGTGCGAAGGAAGTCCAACACACATACATAAGGGAACACGCGCAGGCTGATGGCATCATTACAAATTTTAAGAAATGTAATTGGTCTTGGACAGGACACGTTACCGGGAAAGAAAGATGGCCGATGGTAATTATGGATTGACAGCCAAGAAATGGAACGCAAACGAGAGGGCCAACGGACGAGAGGGCCGGCGGACGAGACAGAGCGATGGAATGAGCTCGTTTTCAGGTGTTCGGTGTAATATCAGACCGCAGGGTGACAAAGAGATGGCGGCGGTGGCAGGGACTTAGTAGAGAGGCCCTCATCCAGCAGTGGATTGACGATCACAAATGATCATGACGTTCAGGAAATGTGGACCGTTATGTATGTGGACATATATAAAAAAATATATAAACCCCATAAATGTTTTTTAGTTCCGATTCATTAAGATCCATATTGAGTAACTGCGCCTTGACTAAAAATCAAGCTCGAGACAAAACCAAAATCACATCGAGACAAAACCAAGAGGGGTCCCCCTTCCCCGATTATCTCACCAGCCTTGTCAGAATTGCAGAGGATGGCCTCCTTCTCGGAGCGCTGCGCGGGTCCCGAGAGCGGGCCGTGGCGGAGCCAGGCGGACAGCGTGAAGCGGTGCGTCAGGTTGGCCGGCACGGCGGCGTCGGGCACCAGGGCGGCCCGAGTGCCGTCGAAGAGGAAGACTCGCTCGCCGGTCGAGTCTGGCCCCTCGGGGACCTCCGTGGGCAGCCCCTGGGTCCAGGACCCCGGCAGCTCCGGCGACGGCAGCAGGTCGACTCCGCCGGTCGAAGCGCCTTCGGGGAGGGGAAAGAAGAAGAAGTGTAAATAAAAATTTGAGAAAACGTGCGATGGAGCCGCGCCGTTGAGTGGAGAAGGAACGCTGCGGCCGCGGCGCGGCGAACGTTCGGCGCTCGCCGGAATCGCGGTCCAGAGGTGGCCGCCGCTTCGAAATCGATCGCCCTGCACGGCAGTTGAAACCACGGTGCCCGAGTTCACTCGGCAGTGTACGTGGGGTGGTTCGCGGTGAGACGATCGGCCGGCAGGTCGCTTGCGGTGGGGGCAAAGCGTGGGGTGGCCCTTTCTCAACATCTCCTGAAGAAGTCTGGCCAGCGTAAAAGACGAGGCCAAATATTCGCCAGAGGGTGCATCTAGTGCTACCTCGAAGTGGTACATACTCAGTGGAATTTGGACATTCATGAAAAAAGTGGCTTCCCTAGGTAAAAAAGAAATGATGTTATCGCCATACACGTTGTATTGCAAGGCACCGTTTTCGACGAAAGTGTTGAAGGTTTTACATTTGTGCATATGTAGTTATACACTATTGCCAACGCAAGTGTGTGCACAAAGAATAAAAGGGCTCTGTCAAAGAAAGAGTCCTCATTTTAAAAAAATTCCGAGTCAACACTGCTTATCTCTGCTCTCAGGATCCATCCAAGAAGCCTCCCCCCTCTCCTCATTGTGTCATGATATTCCTGCCGACCATTATCGCCCGCCGGCTTCTACGGCAGACAGGCTCCGCGAGTTGCTACCGACGGCCCAACACTCGAGCGCGCGTTCTTCTGTTACCGACGCCAGACGGCCCAATCGTGCTTGATAACACGCCAGCGGAGTTTGCGAGCGATTACGGCCAAGGAGAAGCGAGGTTACGACTCTCCCCCTCCCCGCTCGACTCGGGGGAAAAGCTACGCGGCGGCGCAAACTGCCCCTGAATGCTGATGTCCAATCGTTGAGGCAGGTACGGCACCAGAATTGCATTGTTACACCTCCCCTCCACCGCCCACCCCCCCCCAGCGCATTGGGATCAATACGACGGCATCGGATCGCCGCGTCTCCCCGTGGACGAGTCAGGCCGCTCGCAAATACAAATGACGGGCAGTGCGCTTACCAATCCAGGCGAACAAATCAACGTAAAGGAAAATACACCACCTGGCCATTGCGGTAGGCTTGTCAAAATCTAAACACGCCGGCCATCCGACGATTTGTCATGATTAGGGCCCATTAATTGATTGTGTTTTGTCACATTTTGGCCATACGATTTATATGATTTCGTTTTTTGTTGGCTTTCTCGTGTGGTGGGGTAACGTGTGGGTAACCCCGACCTCTTACGCTAGTTCTCTGCGGCGAGCAGAAATGTCTTTATTTTAAGAGGCGTAGCGCCGCTGTTTTTAAAGTTAACGCTGAACCACTTGTGCGTTCCGAGTTTCACCGGTGAACGGGATCCCACCCTATAACCTGTAATCGTCTCGGAGTTAATGTGTGGTTGCCCCCCAAAGTCATTCAAAAGTGGATTTACTTGCCATTCCAATCTTCAAGTGGCATACACCAAGGGGACCGTGCTTAATATTGTTATGCACCAAATCTGTAGAATGCTAAAACCAATTTTTATTCAAAGGCTCTTCTTTTTGATTGATTCAATTTCATGGAGATTGTGACATTTTTTTTACCAGTTTGTAACGCAGTATCTTCCCTGGGTTCCACCGATAGTCAGTTGCCTATGTTTCAATTTTGGTTTTATCTTTGATTTTATTGTATTGTGATTGGGGTTTTTCAGTGTTTTATGTTCATTTATATATTATTACCTCTGATGTACAAACGCTTTGAAATTACCAATTTTAAAGACACTATATAACACTGAGTTTCTGTTATTAGTCTCATCATTATTAAATTATTTTTATATTCTTCTTATTATTATTCGAAAGTCCTATTCGGCTCCCATACAGCGCAGCATCTCTAAGTGGTCCTACTTGATTTGCTGCTGCTGCTGCTGCCCGCAGACTGACGTCAGGTGCTGGCTGGGTGCTGGGCGAGGTATGTATGTAGAACTTTTGTTGTGCCGTACAAAGTCAACCATGCTAATAGGAGGTGCAGGGGGAAGGACAAACTAAACGCACAAAAAAAGCAGTACTAAAGAAATGAGTTTTCGATGTAGATGATTTAAAAGTGCATAACTCCAGAGGCTTCCTAACATCGGAAGAAAGCGCGTTCCAGATGGCCACATTAGCACATCTGAAAGCGCGCGATGCGGTGACCATCTCTGTTCGATGGGAAAAACTATTCAAACTAAACTATTTTTTTTTATTTTACCAGGTAAGGCCCACCGAGCTGTAAAGTTATCTTTCAGGAGCGACCTGGCCACAAACGATAACTCAACGAAGTGGCTTATCACGTGGAGATTTATTGCAATAATAAAGAGCGGAGGATGCGGAGAAAAATCCATACGACTGCGTGGGAGAGAGACATGCAAATTCCAAAAATGGACAAAAGCCGCCGCTGCGTGGATGGTCAGCCAGGTATTGGCGGTTCATTTGCGGGCAAGTACTTTGCGTGTGATGAATGCGACTTCGTAACGGTGCTGAAGCGGCGTGGTGTCTCTCACCGCACAGCTTGCGGCGCGAGTTCTCCGCGTAGGTCTCTCGGTCGCAGCCCTTGCCGATGTGCGTCGTCTGGAGCTCGACGGTGGCGCGTGCCGACGCTACGCGCCGTCCACACGTCTCCAGCCGGGCACCAGGGAAGAGCGATCGTCCGCCACTGCCCGGATCATACTCCACACGCTTGTTCCAGCCTGGCACGGAATGGAAACCATGTGTAGCACACGCAGCAACGCGCGCACACACAAATATTGATTTAAAAAAAAAATGTTTTTACCATCTTCTTGGTTCTTTCGGTAAAGTCTACGTGACTTTACCGAAAGAATCAAGAAGATGAATCCCTGCAGTCACGAAAGCTTTAAATCAAAATGTATTTTACCATATGCAAATTATTTTGTCAAGGCGCTCTTCCCCCTCCAACCCAGCTTAAATAGACGCTCCAAGCCTGGGGCTGTTTCATTCAGACTCTGTCTTCTCGACAGACCTATTCTTCACCTGAGGATGGCTGCTTGCGTTGTGGCCGAAACGTCGTGAGAATAATTTTATTATGTTTAATTTTTATTATTTTATTATTTCCATTCTACATGACTTTACCGAAAGAACCAAGAAGATGTATTTTACCAGGCAAGGCCCACCGAGCTAATTGGCTCTTTTTCAGAAGTGACCTGGTTATCGCAAACGATACCGCAACCGAGTGGCTTATTGCGTGGGGAATTATGGCAGCAGCCAAAGTCTAAATGCATGTTTCTAAATGTGGAGGGGAAAACGGGAGGACCCAGAGAAAAATCCACACAGCCATGAGGAGAGAGACACGCAAACTCCAAACATACATGCGAGGTAGTTATCTTGCCACTGTCGTGCCCTGATGTATGTCAGGCATGCATTCCCGAAAGGTGCGATGACGAACTTCGAGTCAAAGCAATTTAGAGGGTAGGTGGAGGCGAAAGCAGAGAGGTCACCGATGCGAGAAAGGGCAGACGATGCTGTCAGCGACATAAGTGTGTGCCGAGGCGATCCAAATCGGGTAGCGGTATTAATAAAGGGGCGACGTGTTTGGAAACGACGTAGAAGGGGGGGGAGACATGTACTGGGGCATTACTGTACAACTCACGTGTGCATGTATGTAGGCGCACACGGATTCACGCGCAAGCACGAACACAAGAAAACGACACGGATGCGCCGAAAGCCTTCACAGATGGTCAGGGGAGGGCAGAGGGGGGGGAAATGCCATCCTCCACGAATCTCAACATGACACACAGCGAGGCCTCACCCTGCCAGCCAGGCCGGCACACGGGCCGCACGCCGATGGTGACCAGGGCGTCCTCGGCCGAGCGCCGTTTGCCGCAGTCGTACGCCGCCACGGTCAGCTGCTGCTCGCCGTGCAGCTCGTATGACAGGCGCTCCGTGGCGCGGATCACTCCTGGGTGCGGCGGGGGGGGGGAGTGGGAGCAGCGCTGTCAGTCAGTTTTCTTTCCCCAGCACCTCCGATTAGTGCGGTTGGCTCGGTACGTGTCGGTGGCGGGTTAACGACACGTTTATATTGACGCGATCCAACCCAACAACAACAACAAAAACCTGTTATCACGAAGTGCGCAATTCACGGCCGCTATCACAGTCGCTAAAAGCCACCGTCGAGAATTGAAAACCGGCGAGCTTCCGATTGGGATTTCCGCCACCGCCGTCGCTGCCCGGCACCACCGCCGCCGCCGCCGTACCGTCGGAGTCGATGGAGAAGGGCGCGCCCGCGGTGAGGATCTGGTAGTCGCAGACGCGGCCGAAGAGCGGCGAGCAGTCCCCGTCGCTCGCCTCGACGCGCACGAGGGCGGCGCCGGGCTCCGCGGCCTCGTCCACGCTGGCGCTGTACTCGCCCTGCAGGAACTCGGGCGCGTGGCGGTTCACGCTCTTTACCCGCACGTGCACCATGGCCCTGTGGGGGGGGGGTGGGGGCAGGGGAGTGCACCGAGGGGGGGGGGGGGGGTGTAACGGTTAGCGTGCTGCGCTACGAACCTGGCGACCTGGGTTCGATTCCCGCTCACGGCCGACACCAGTGACGATTATCTGAACCGGTCCTGGGCCTCACCTAGGTCGCCTCGGCCTCAAATGAGTACCTGGTGCAGTGTGTAAACATCGCCACTGGGGAGACAAAAGTGGTCGGGCGTGGTGCTGGCCACCCACCCCCTCGTGTGCCGTGTTGGCCTTCAAAGACGCTGTGTAATGACGACGACGATGATGATGGGGAGGTGTGTGTGTGTGTCGCAAGTGCTTGGGGAGGAGCCGGCTGATGAGATGGTATAAAGAGGTGATGTGGTGGCTCAGAGGTCGGAGCAATGAGCAGCCCATCCCATGATTAACCTGAGTAGCGAGCCGACAATCTCGATTGCACGAAAACAAACTGATCGTGTTAAATTCAATTCTGGAATGAGTTTGGGACAATTCCACGTCTGAGAGTGGCTTGTGACAAATATGGGGCCTGTGGGCCATTTTTCTCCCCCTAATGTGTGGACTAGAGATCACCTCAAGGGGTTTCGGAGGTAGTTCTGGAATATTCACTTCAGTGGACCGTACTTTTAACATTAAGGGTGGCATTGCTCTGCGAGAGATCTGAATGAACACTTCCCCATCCTAAGATGCGACTCCAACAGCAAAATCAGACATCTGTGGGGAAAGAGCTTCATAGCTCATCGGATTCATCCTGGATAAATAACGATTCTGATTCTCCCATCCAAGTACTAACTAGGCTCGACACTGCTTAGCTTCCGAGATCGGGTGAAATCGGCCAGATTAAGGGTGATATATATGCTAAAGATTCTGATTCTGACATTTGGAATAAAATTTGGGAGAAGTATAAACAGTACGCTTTTTTTTTAATGCTAAAAGAGCATCTTATTGTTTTGCGTTTGTCGTGCGCTACGAACGTTCGCCAGGACGCACCACACAATGCCTTTGTCAAGTGACGAGAATTAATACCAAACCCAGAGGAGGTCGGCCAGTCCATCCGCAACGCCTCGCAAACCTGGAGCAAATGAGCTTCTCACTTCCATTTAATGGCCGTTTCCTCTCAATTGATCTTCAATAATAAAAAAACAACAATAGTCATCGCGTAAATAATTAAGAGTGTAAATGCTCTCCATTGTTGTTCTACCTCGTCCGGTCCCGCGCGTTGTTTTTAATTGCTTCGTGTAATTATTCCGCCTCGGCTAATTCAGTATTCGAGTTGATTATAATTTCAACAAGTGATTACGGAAATCTACATTTCATTCTCCTGTTTTGCAAATTGCTTTGCCATTCTAGTATATGGCTTTGACGACATAGATATGCCTTGAAAAAGAGACTTGGAGCCTTAATGGGTTCCTACCCACATACACGCAGAACGCTGTTGTCAAGCCACTGCTGCATGAGGGCCTCTCTGTGCATTGTTGGGTCATGGAGGTTATTTCACCCATATTTCACCGCACTTGCCAGTGCTGGTCGTTGAAGGTGCAGGAGACGTACGAGTACAACACAACAATCGATTTTTACCATTAGCTCTCCGACATGATGGCGGGTTGTTCCGCATGATCTCTGACATTTATCTCCAAGTGCTGGGAGCAATGGCATTCGAGAACCATGCACCGCAGGCACGAAAACATACGCATGCCCTTTGCCGCCAAACAAAGTAGCGTATAGCCGCACCGCCTATAATCACCCTGTGATGCATCGCGCTCACACATTCAAACACTATCCAAAGCCTCAAAAGCCTGTTTAGCTCCCACGATTGATGGCATTGGGTGCATAAGGCCAATGGGCTCACGGCGGGTCAAAATAAAGATCTTGACTGTCGCTACTTCCCGACACACATTAAACACCTATCCCCAATCGGTTGCCTGGCATGTGATGGGGCCTCGTATGATGAGGCTCATCTGATGGATTCGGGTCTTAAGAAACCAATGCCACCGTATTTCTATTCATCTCCGTCTGCTATAGAAGGGACTAAATTAAACAAACTGTGCTCTTTCCCATAGACACAGATATAATTAGGTTTTGGCCAACATAAGCATGCCTGCCACTTTCGCAATACACAAATAACCTTTAGAAATTACATCAGACTGCTTGATAATTTAAAATGAAGGCGAATTTTAATTACAAAGTGTGGGATAACCTAAGACCTGAGTAAACGTGCATAATTAATCAAGAGAAAACCCACCTTATGAAACATTCGGTAGACACACAAAGGCGATCAATAAAAAAAAGAGTGAATTATGAAAACGCATTAAGTTCTGACGTGTACATTTTTATGTAGTTTACAGTCAATTCGACGAAAGTCGGTAGATGGTTTAAGTGGCGTGAAAATGCTCCTGGAGTTTTCCCACACTCCTCTTTTTTTTGGGGGGGGGGGGGGCGTAGGGGTGTGTGTGGTTGGGGAGTGGGGAATGTTTCGACAGCCAAAAAAGCAAATCAAACAATTTAGTTGAAGGAGCATGGCCCTCGCTTAGGGCTTCGAAGGATGGTTGAGAATTCGGGGCTGGTTCTCTGGGGACGTAGTAATATTATTTTCTTTTTGTAAAGCGTAATTTGAGACAAAACACATGGGGGGGGGGGGGGGGGGGGAGCACATAAGGAAAAAAGACCGAGGCGGACGACGTGACCGACCGCGGCGCTAACTTGGCAGTTTGAAAAGCAAACACAAAGCGACGTTCCCAAACCGTGGTGGGAAGAAAAAAAAAACACTAAATTGGGGCTACATTCTTTTGCACATCTCCCCCCCCCCCCCATGATTCCAAGCATAGACAATTAACGAGGGAAGAAAAATAAAACCTATTTGTGTATATTTTTGTTCGTTGGGCTCGGCGCACGCAATTTGGACGGAATGTGCTTGCGCGGGTTTTTGATGCCTGCGAGCGGTTAATGTTGAGAAGCGAGCGATTTAACGCCGGATCGTTGTTTTTCCTCAGCAGATTTTTTTCGAGAGGCCGAGACGTCCTTCTCGCGCGTAAACAAAAGCTTACGCCATATTCAAATGTAGCGAGCTGAACGCTATGTTCCGCTTCACTTTTTATACAGATTTTTTTAGGTAAAAATTATACGAATTAATGTATATAACGCGATTGGGTTGTGCCACGCTTTGAGCATTTTAATGTTGAGCATTTTGGGTGCAGTAGTGGAGGGATGTTTACTACCTCGCCTGGTATGCAGGAAGTCGTGAGTTTGATCCCGACCCTGACGCCTGCTGCAAATCTGGAGTGTGCATGTTCTGTCCCCATTGTCGCGTGGATTTTTTTCCGGGTCCTCCAGTTTTCCCCTCCACATTTATAAACGTGCGTTTAGAATATTTGGCTGCTGCCATAATTTTTCACGCAATAAGCCACTCCGTTGAGCTATAATTTGTGGCCAGTTCACTTCTGAATAAGAGCTATGTAGCTCAGTGGGCTTAACTAGGTAGCATAAAAAGATGAGCAGTTTTTACTTTCAACTCGCAAGCTAATTCAACGCTGTGAAGATGGCCGTAGCATTAGCAGCGCGTCGCAAAAGCTTGCTCAATGCACAACCCGGCCCGGAAAAAAACCCACATTTAGAATTAATGAACATAAACATTTTTTTTAAATGATGAAGGCCAATCTAAGAAACTAATTTTAAACTCAATACATGCCCTTGGTATATGGTTTCAAACCGAGGCTCAGCTCACTCGGTATATTTAGCCAGGCCCTAACCCTAAAAATAATGTCTTCCATTAAAAAGAATATTAATGAATACTGCCGAAAAATATTTATTGGCAAAGGATAATAAAGCACAAATATGAAATACAACCGCTATGCATCTCTCAGTGTTGCGTACTGTAATGCAATTGGATCCTGCGAAATACGTTTGGTGTAATTTTTGGAGCGATTAAATTTTCTTCACGGGGGTAATGAATGCGCGAACGATTTTTTCAGGCATACAAATGCGTCTCTGTGGGCCCGAGCGTAAAGCCAGCAAGCAGTCAAGACCCCATGCACAGGACAGCACTGTATAGTGCACTCGACACAGAACACTGCTGTATTTTTGCAAGTGCAAGTTTAAATATAATTGCTTCTTTTTCAAGTACTGGAAGGAAAAAAAATACGTTAGCACAATCAAATTCTAAGCGGCCATTTACCGGGCGGCTTGACTGCACGGGCACGCCCAGCAATTTTTCCACCACTAGCACCGTAAATGAAAAATCTATTCATGCAGCAACACCATACCACCGCACACCCGCGTAATATACCCTGGACAATTTTTTTTCCAGCGTTATTTATTCTTTTTTTTTATTACTGGGTGTAGACAGTGCTTCAGGGATCTGTCCACTGGGACATCAAGCCGTGTGCCAAGAGGCCCTGTGCAGACAGAAGCCTCATGCGATCACAGCTAAAACACACGATTCCCTCTGAAGCGCTCGTTACATCACCAGCTGTGCCTGTCCACAAAAGGTGTCTCACGTGGAACAAATGCAACATTCATCTGGATTCCGGCAAGGCCGTTAATTTCCTTTCTTACCAAATACTACTGCGCTACTGTACGACGACGATGACCAATTCCAATTCCACAGATCGGCAATCACAACTCGTCCATCTGTCCACGCATCCCTTGGTTTCGTAATCGGCTGAAATTAAGTTGCTTAACTTTGGCAATTAACGTCCGAGCGCCGCCAAGCAAAAATCAAAGACCAATCTCCAATGAGCATCCGCTGAAGAACGCAGGGGCCACGCGCCAAAAAGCACGCGACGTCTCAATCCCCACCGTGGACGCTTTGAAAAGGGGAAGCAAATCTTTTTGTACGTGCAGCCACTAGTTATTTATTGCAATCTCCCAGAGGCCGCGCGGAAGCCCTTTTGAAAGGGGAGGCGATAACGGAGCGGGCGTGCGGGCGGGCGATACGTTGGGGAAGCATTATCGACGCGCGGAGCCGCGTCCTGATGAGGGGTCTAGGAG